TGCTGCTGGTGCTGCTGGTGCTGCTGGTGCTGCTGCTGGTGCTGCTGCTGCTGGTGCTGCTGCTGCTGGTGCTGCTGCTGCTGGTGCTGCTGCTGCTGGTGCTGCTGCTGCTGCTGATGCTGGTGCTGTTGCTGCTGCTGTGATTGCTGCTGCTGTTGCTGTTGCTGGGGCGGTCGCTGCTGCTGCTGTGGGCTTGGAGGGCCACTACCTGCAGATTCCGTTGCTGCAGTTGCTGCTGCTGCTGCTGCTGTTGCTGCTTCTGCTGCTGCTGTTGCTGCTGCTGCTGCTGCAGGGCGAGGGGGCTGCTCAGCAGCATCTGCATCGCTTTCTGCGTCAATGTACACCACCAGCTCATCGTCAGATTCTGTTGTTGCTGCTGCTGCTTCTGCTGCTGCAGGAGCAGCAGCAGCAGCAGCTTTTGGTGACTGCTGCTGCCTAGACAGAGGAGCTGTATATACACCAGAAGCAGCAGCAGCTGCTGCTGCTGCTGCAGCAAGACCCCTCACAGGTGCACACCGCAGAGCGCCAGCCGTATCCGTATGCTGACGTGCAGCAGCAGCAGCAGCAGCAGCAGCAGCAGCAGAACTCCCGTAGGGAGCTGCTCGTCCCGGTGCTGCTGCTGTGTCTGCTGCTGCTGCTGCACCGGTTGCTGCTGCTGCTGCTGCTGCTGCAGTGGCAGGGTTGCGTTGATAGACACCTGAAAGTCCCCCCAATTCCTGATGCATAGAGTACAGCTGCAATGCCTGCTGCTGCTGCTGCTGCTGCTGCGGTTGCTGCTGCTGCTGCTGCTGCTGCTGAGTTGGATGGGCTCTGTGTTGCTGCTGCACCGTGTGGGGCTGTTGCTCTCCTGGAGCAGGTGCAGCAGCAGCAGCAGCAGCAGCAGCAGCAGCAGAAGCAGCAGCAGCATCTGCTGCTGCTGCAGTCGTTGCTTCTGTCTTGATGGCGCAGGGGCCCTCTTTTTGCTGCAGCGGCCTTCCAGTCACCGCATCAGCAGCTGCAGCAGCAGCAGGAGCAGCAACAGCAGCAGCAGCAGCAGCAGCAGGAGCAGCAGCATCAGCCGGCGGCAGCGCCACTCCCTCTGTCTGTTGCATTTGCCGTTGCTGCTGCCCCCTCACCAGCTGCTTTTGCTGCTGCTGTTGGAGCTGCAGCATCACCTGTTGCTGCTGCAGCAGCAGCGGCTCTCCAGGGGAACCCCAAGGGAAACGAAACAACAGCTGGTGCTGATGATGACGTTTACTATATAGCTGTGTCTCGGTGCTGTTTCTCTGCTGCTTCTGCTGCTGCAGCAGCAGCAACTCCTGCTGCTGCTGCTGCTGCAGCTTGCCCAGCTGCTGCAGCACATTAACCACACACCCTAGAGGGGCCCAAGCAGCAGCAGCTCGATTGGTTTCATGCTGCTGCTGCTGCTGCATCTGCTGCAGCAGCAGCAGCAGTTGTTGCTGCTGCTTCTGCTGATATAACACCATACCCTCTCCCTGCTGCTGCTGCTGCTGTTGCTGCTGCTGCTGTTGCTGCTGCTGCAGCAGCAGCAGCAGCTCTAAGTAATTAACTAACTCCTTGAGCATCGCCCTAGAGACAAAGATGCAGCAGCGGCCCCCAACAAAGCCATCAGCTGAGGCACCGATAGCAGCAACAAAGCGCACGAGAGCTGCAGCAGAATCCCGCTGCTGCTGCTGCTGCTGCTGCTGCTGCTGCTGTTTGTGCTGCTTCGGCTGCTGCTGCTTCTCCTGCTGGGTTGCGTTCTGCTTCTCCTCCTGCTGCTGCACCAGCACCTCTTGCTGCTGCTCCTCTCTGTACAGCTGCAGCCAGCGGGCCTTCAGTGCTCGTGCTGCTGCTGCTGCTGCTGCTGTCTGCTGCTGCAGCGGCAACCGCCACGACACAGCCGTGTTGCTGCTGTTGCTGCTGCTGCTGCTAAAAGCCTCAACGAGGAAGCTTGCTGCTGCTTCGGTTACTCTCCATCCGAGTATCCACTCTCCTGCTGCTGCTGCTGCTGCTTCTGCGCTGCTGCTGCTGCTGCTGCTGTTGCTGCTGCTGCAAGGACTGCCGCCGTCTGCAGCAGCAGCAGCAGCAGCAGCAGCAGCACGAGCCTCAGAGAGCACATGCAGCAGCACAGGCTCCAGCCCCCCCACTCTTGCTGCTGCAGGGAAGCAGCCACACAGCCGCTGCACCGCCTCCAGCAGCGGTTCATCAATGTCGCTTCGTGTTGCTGCTGCTGCTGCTGCTGCTGCTGCTGCTGCTGCTGCTGTTGCTGCTGTGCCTGCTGCAGCAGCTTCAGCTCTACATGCTCCCTTATAGAGAAGGGTTGCCACGCTGCGCGTCATATTCGATAT